TTGCCCGGGGTGGGAGCCGCTCATCTGCCGCGACGAGGGCTCAGGCGCCTCCTGCGCGGTGCTCCTGCCCATCGGGACCGGGGCCCTTTCCCGGCCCCCGGGCTTCGCTGCAGGCAACTGTCCAGCCGCAGCCCCGTACAGCCGTGTGGGCAGGGAGCGAGGAGCACCGTCCGCTGCAGGAACCGGTGAGCGCGGCTGTCCCATCGCCTCGTTGTGGCCTCCTCCGCTCTTGTCTCTGGCAAACTGGAATCTGTCCGGCAGAACCTGCTTTAGCCGCGCAATGTCAGGATCCCCCACTGGCAGCTTTGTCTTCGGCCGTTCCTGGGACTCCCTCAGACCAGCAGGACTTGGCTTATCCGCCACACTGGGGCTCAGGGGGCTGCCTCCTCCTTGCACAGCCCCAGAATCAACGTGGTCACTGCCCTCCTCCTGCCCCAGCGCCTGCTGGAACCTCCAAGGACTGGGGGACCTCTTTTCCTCCGCCTCCGGCAGCCGGAAAGCCCTGAGCCCCTCTGCTTTGTCGCTAACGTCCAGGTGCTGCAGGTCCATCTGCAGGGACACCAGGCTGCCGGGAAGGGCTGCACCCAGCACCGCGTCCTGGCCTCTGCTCGCTCGGCGGACACTGGAGTGCCCTGTGCTCTCCGGTCCTGGAGACAAGGATGAAGACTTCAGGGCACGGATCCTCCTAGAAGAAAACACGTGGAAGGCCTCAGTCACTCCTGGCAGCATCTCCTTGGGGCAGGCGAGGTACAGCTTGTACTTGTCTTTGCTGAGTCCAACCCCGAGGGCGGTTCCTCGCAGGAGGCTGCACAGTTCGCCCAGGGCACTGTCATCTGGACCATCTACAGCGAGCTCCGAGTAGCTCATACTCTGACACACCAGGTCAGGACACTTCTGCACAAGAGCTTCCACCTTCCATTTAGCCTGGAAAAGCTTGCTCCGGTCTGCCGCTTGTAGCGTCAGCACGGTGCAGTCCCCATCACGATGCTCTGAGATCTGCACACCTCCGTCCCTGCACAGCTCATCAATAGCAGAGCGGCAAACGTCTTTCAGGTAAGACCACTGCAGAGAGTCCAGGCTCATTTCTTCGCTCACCCCACCGCCCCCACTGCCGGAGCCTCGGCGCTTGTCGCTTTCCTGGGACCTTGGCAGGGAGAAGCTGTTGGAACGTCGCAGCAGAGGCCTGGACTCAGAGGGTTTAAGGGCTAAAGCAGAAGAGGTCCTTGTCACGTCAAAGGTACTGGACGTGCTAGTGAGAGGGTGGTACTTGATAGGACTTGAGCCTTTAGAGTCCCCAGGATGCTGCGAAGTGCTGTTTTCTTCGTCCCCAAGGGGAAACAGAGCTGTGTGCCTTGTAAGCCTGTCACCTCCTTTCTCACGGTCCCATTCTTTGGGGTCCTTCTGCTGAGACTCCGCTTCTGACCCCAAAACCACATCTGTTGTAGAGACACGAGGCTGGTACTGCCGGGTCAGCGCTGTTGGGTCACTCAGACCCGGAGCATCTCTCTCTGAGAAGTGTCTTCCAGAAAGCTGCGCCTGTCCCACCGGTGGAGAGTCCTGATTCAGCAGG